TCTCTCTCTCTCTCTCTCTCTCTCAAATTAAAAAAAAAAAGGCAATCTTCAGGTATAGGAGTACGTAGTTGGCTGAGTGGAGCATGTGACTTTTGATCTTGGGGTCCTCAGTTTGAGCCCAATGTGTGGAGTAGAGTTTACTTAAAAATTAAAAAAAAATTTTTTTTTCAACGTTTATTTATTTTTGGGACAGAGAGAGACAGAGCATGAACGGGGGAGGGGCAGAGAGAGAGGGAGACACAGAATCGGAAACAGGCTCCAGGTTCTGAGCCATCAGCCCAGAGCCTGACGCGGGGCTCGAACTCACGGACCACGAGATGGTGACCTGGCTGAAGTCGGACGCTTAACCGACTGCGCCACCCAGGCGCCCCTTAAAATGTTTTAAAAAAAGAGAGAAAGTCTTCAGGTGTATAGCTTTTGGATTCTATTGAATTATTCTCTTACCTTGAGGGGGGTTATTTTGTGTTCACACTGCAGTGTGGACCTCGTTTCGGGAACCCATTCACATTGAGGCAGTCTTCGAGAAAGGGTTGAGTGGGTGAGCAGGATTTAAAACTGCAGAGGTGTTGAGGGAGTGTGTATGTATTGGGGGGTTGGAGGGGGCAGAAGGACAGCTCTTAGAGGAAACGTGGGCAGTAGGGAGAGTGGGACAGGGCATCTGTTGGGGGCGGCCGGAAGCACAAAGGGAGTAAGGCCTCAGGACAGGCAGGAAGTCGATGGGATTGATTTCTGTGGCCTTCACGCTTCCCTAATGCCTTGCCTGCTCAAGGTGGCCAGTGGGGTTCTGGCGAGCCCTGAGGACCGGGCCAGCTGCTGTGGAGACATGAAGCTGCTGTTTGCAGGAGGTGGACAGCCAGGACGGCTCTCCCTGGGGCCAAGGTAGCTCTCTGGCCCTTTGGCGGCTGTCCCGGGCAGCCTGGGAGGGGTCAGCTGGGGATAGGCGGCAAGTAAATATAGATGCAGGGAAGGAAGCCAGGTGGCCCAGCCCTGCGCTGACCTCTCGTTGGAAGGCTGAGAAGTGTGGGGAGGGTTTATGTTTTGGCACCCTCCTGGCCAGGGGGTGAGTGACACCTGGCCCAGAAGCCTTCTAGATTTGCTGGAAGCTGGTGGTCTTCCACGGGGACCAGAGTGAGGGCCAGTGGAAAAGCTGGTCAAGAGACGCTGTTCCTGCGTAACTGAGCGCAAACTGCCTTCCCTCCCTGGCGAGGCCCCTCAGAGGCGCTGCCCACCTTGATGCGTGCAAGCCAAGGGGCTGATTGGCCCCAAGGGATGTGGGGCCCATGGTACAAGGGACAGGGCCAGCCTGAAGATACCGGATGACAGTCCTTTCAGCCCCTCCCCCCACTGGGTCTTGCTCATTCTGAAGAAGGATGTCCAGAGCGTAATGTGTCTTCCCTTGCTCTCTCACGCTCTCACTGGCGGCTGGCCTTCTCCACCCTAAGACTCAGGGCCACCAGTTGTATCCCTCCCCCCAGGATACACCCTGCCACCCCCCAGCCTGGCCCTCCTTGCCCGCACCCTGGGTTACTCTGGGCACCAGCCCCATGGCATGCGTGCCATGTCCACAGGGTCCGGCCAAGACCCCTTGGACCCCCGACTCTCAGAGGGAAATTGCAGCAAGGCAGTCACTCCACCACAGACGCGTTTATTGGCAAAACCTACTCCCAAGCATCAAGGGGAAGGGTGCTAGCAGTGCGGGCGACTTTCTTTCCACTTTCCTGAGCAGTGTTCAAGGAGCAGAAGGAGGGAGGGGGCAGGGACACCCCAGTGAGGATCACAATACCAGCAGCGAAGGTTGATTGAGCGCTTCCTCTGAGGCCTGAGGCCAGGCTGTGCTAAGCAAGCGCTTTACATGCACTGTCTCATTTAATCCTTACAAGAATCCTACAAGGTAGGTACCATTATCGTCCCCATTTTACAGATGAGGAAGCTGAGGCATAGAATGGGGAAGTGGTGAGAGGCAGCTGTCAGCCCTCAGGGATGCACCCAAGAGCCTCCCATCGGGCGCCCAAGGCACCTGATTCTCCGTTTCAACCATTTCTCACCGCTTCCAGCTCTTTCCACTCTTTTTATATTTTTGTTTTGTAAAAAAAAAAAAAA